ATAAATAAAAAATTTTTTTTTGTTTTTTTTTTTTTATAGCCGTGACGTAATATTCGAAGACTATAAAATTCGCTATATTTTATTTTTAATAATAATAATATTAATTTTATAGTGAGAGAGAGAGAAAGAGATTCGTTGAATTTTATATTTATTTATCATTATTTAACTATTTTCTTTTTTATTATTACGACGTTTTATTCGCGTCGACGCGAAAAAAAAAAAATTAAAATTTATTAACGTAAATAAAATTTAATTTTTATTTAAATATATTGGATACTACGATGATAATAATGATAATAATAAAAATAATAATAATAATAATAATAATAATAATAATAATACGACAATTGGAAATTTTTTAAATATTTTTTTCATATCCGGAAAAGTAGAATATTGAAAGGAAAACGGATGATGATAATAATTCCAATACGATAATGTTAACTCTCTCTTTCTCTCTCTCTCTCTATCTTTCGAATCTATTCAATAAGATTAAATAAATTTAATAATAATAATAATAATTTCGATACCGAAAAAAAAACCAGAATCCCTATTACGATTCTCGACAGTATTGCCATCTTGGGAAAAAAAAAATTCGTCACGATATTTTTTTTTATTTTCGTAAATTATAACAAACTTATAATTTTTATTTTTTTTTCTAAGTTAAAACGAAATAATAAAATCAAAGACGGATATTAAATATAAAACGGAAATTTAAAAAAAAAAACAAAGTTGGCACTCCTGATTTACTTCATTAAATAATAATTTAATTTTTTTTTTTTTTTATATATATTTGCAGTCCGAACGATCGAACAGACACCGACATAAAAGCCATTATCGATAGATTAAGACGTATCGAATCGTTTAGCAGACTTTCGAATCAGGTTTTGCAACAGTTAGCAGCCTGCGGATTTTACGAAGATCTCGAAAAAGGTGTTACACGTAAGTTAATTTTTATTATTAACGAAAACAATCTCTCTCTCTTACTCTCTTTCTTCCTCCAACTCTCTCTCTCTCTCTCTTTCTCCCTTCATCTGTTTCCCTCCCTCTCTCTTTCTTTCTTCCTTCATCTCTTTACCTCCCTCTCTCTTTCTTTTAGTATTCATAAATTCGTTTGAGGATATTTAACCTTTTTTTTCCCCCACATTTTCTCAAAGTCAATTCCGTAGCCGACATTTTGCGGTTTTATCGTTTTCCATGAGGTTTTTTTTTTTCTTTAAACGGTTTATTTCAAAAAACAATTCATATATTTTTTTTATATCAATGAGTCAAATATAAGAATAATAAAAATCGATAAATTTTCTTTTCGATTACAAATTTTCATTCGATTCTCGATTTTCCCATATACTCGTTACATTCATTCGTCAGATACAAAAGAACAACAATTTCATTTTGTCTTTTCACAATGCATGCATGTTTTTTTTTCCCATTACTAACTCCACAAAATGAAAAGAACAAAAACAAAACAAAAAAAATCGTCAAAGTTTAATTACGAGAAAACAAAAAGTGCTTTTTTCAAAAATTACAAAATTTCTTATTATTAAAACCGTATTCTCTAAAATGCGTGTGCGTGCTGCGTAAACGACTATAAGTACGCACACACATTATCTTCACTTTATTAATAACTCGAACTTTGGTTTTTTCCTTTTTCTTCCTTTTTTCTGAACAAAAGTTTTCGATTCGTTTATAAAAAAATAAAAAAAAAATTTCATTTCTATTCTATATAAGTTTCTTCCATTTTATGTAAATAAATTTTCAATAGTTCACATTTTTTTTTTTTTTTTTTTCGATCAAAATTTCCTATAAATTTTTACGTTTTCATTTAAAATTACTATTTAACAAATGATTATAAACTGGGGAGAAAAAATAAAGCAAAAGAAAGAGAAAGAGAAAAGAGAGATGTTAAACAAATTTCTATTTGAAACCTTTTTTTTTCATTTTGATTTGATACGCACACGCACACACACACACACAATAAACGATTGGAAATTTTTTTTTTTTTTTATTTAAAATTGACAAAAATTTATTATAATTATTTATTTTCGTTTCCCGCAAATTTTAATTTTTTTAAGATTTTGTTTTATTATTCCATCGTTATTTATTTTTTGACAATTTGAGATTTATTTAAAATCTAAATAAATTTCCGTAATTAAATTTGAAATGAATAAAACTCATTAACAACAACAACAACAACCTCGATTTAATACAAAATTTTTATTTAATCTTTATTTATTTATTTATTTATTTTTTATTAAATAAATAAATAAAAGGAAATAAATTATTATTAATAAATAAATTTTAAAAAATTCGAACGGAAGCAAATTGAATTAAAAAAAAAAAAAAAAAACGATTGGATAAAAGGGCGTGCTAATAATAATAATATTAAGTTAAAAAAAAAAGTCTGGAAAATAAAAAAAAAAAAAAATGTTTATGGAAAATAACTTGAGGGGGTAAAAAAAAAAAAAGTGGGAGCATAAAAATAGCAAACGAGGGTTGAAATATTAAAATTAGAAATTATTACAACAAATATGAATGGGTAATAAAAAACAAATTTTCTTTGGGGGAGGGAGTATGAGAATGAATGAAAAAAGACAAATTTTTATAAACTTTCAATAAAATTTGTTTTGAATAAGCAAAATGATAAAAAAAAATGATAATAATATTTTTTTCAAAGGTGAATGAATGAAATTATATGAAACACATTGTAATTAATAATTAAAATAATTTTGTTTTTGTTGTTTGAATAATAAAAAGTTTTTATGAAATATTTTAAATGTTTTTCCAGTTTATAAACACTTCACAATGTTTATAACACTTAAACTGAACTCAAACAAATGACAAACAATTTGAAAAAAGGGCCAAATTCAATAGAAATTGTAAACAAATCTCTGTTTTTAACTTTCTCAAATGGTATCATTTTAGTTTTGTTTATCTTATTTATTAATATTTTGCTTACTTAACAATTATTTATCATTCACAGCATAATATCTATCAAAATAACTTAGTGCTAACTCTTAAATTTGTCAACTATTATATTTCCGTGACACAAGTTTAACCATAATGTACATAAGGTGCATAATAAGTGAGCATACAAATATAAGAAATATCATATTATTTTATGTTATCTTGTTATTTTTTGCATATCCTGAACATTTACAAATGATAATCTACTAGAGTATAGAGTAATTACATAAAATAAAAGATACAAAACTAAATTCAGACATTGAACAAGCAAGCTGTGTTTGTATGCAAAAGTAATATTAGTAAAAATGTAATGTACTCCTATTATGTATTAAAATAAGTTTTAATTATCTATTTATCAATACATACAATTATTATTTATGCATATACGGAGTAGTTTTTACAATAAACTATTAATAATTAGTTGAAAAAAGTTATTTTTTTTGTACAGTGTGTGTGTGTGTTTGGAAAAAAAGAAAAAATTTCTATGGCATCCATTTTGAATTTTGGCCTTTTTTTTTGCAACAGTGAAAACAATAAAATATAAAATGAAGTGGTTTACCTTTTATTATCCAATCGATGGGAGTGTCTATTAAAAATTTTAACAACCCACGCCAACTTTTGTCAAATTAAACCGTTAATTACTTATTTATTTCGATTTGAAATTAATCGAACACTTCAAATCATTTTAAAAATCTAACCGTATAACCACAAAAAACAATAAATTTTAAATAACTTGATATATGACACAAAACTAATTTATAAAAATGAAACAACAAAAAATTAATTAAATAAATCCGACACGCGCGTACCCGAAAAAAATGATTTTACACTAGCCCATGCGCACCTGGTGTTTTTTTTAGAAACTTTTAATTGTCGCAAAAACATTTAATCGTGACGCAATAATTCGTGTGTGTGTGTATTACTCTATGAAATTTTTCAGTAACCGAATGAGTGTATTTTTTTAAAATAGACATCACCGTAAGACTTTTTTTTTTTTCTACCTGAGCTTACCTGAGTTATTCAAATTTTTAATAACCAAAATAAATTAGAAATTTAAAATAGGGATTAAAAACCGGTAAAAGTCTTAAAAAAAAAAAAAAAAAAAAAAAAACTTTCATCAAGAATATTTTTTACTACCCCTCTAGAATAAATTTACGTTAAAAAATTCAAAATTAAAATGAAACGAAGAAAGGATTATTATAAAAAAAAAAAAAAGGAAAAAGCGAAACATTTTCTTTATTTTTTTAATATTTTAAATTTTAAATCTCTACTAAGGTTTCTCTCTCTATTTTTGTCCGATTATTATCCCATAACCATCATCCATATTTAAAAGTAATAAATAATTCTTTAACTATTATTAAAATATGTAACGTTTACGGTTTCCTTTTGACTCCATTAATTAAATTATCACGATTGATTAAAAATTAATGTGAAAAACGATATCGAATTTTTTTTTTACGTCATTGTAAAATAATAATAATAATAATAATAATAATAATAATTTTTCCAGTTTTCAGAGAAGGTGAATCTGGATCCCATTGGTACGTCGTACTTTCTGGAACTTTGGTAGTAAAAGCACATCAGGAATCCTCAGATAATAACCAGGTTTGTAAAAAAAATTTAAAAAAATTATTTTCACCGGCTAAAAAACAATGCGAAAGATAACATCTTAAAAAAAATTACGTTTTTTAAAAATCGATGATAATTTAAAATGAAGTTTTTCCTTATTTGATTTTATATAAAAATAAAATTCATTTTATATTTTGAAAAAAAGGGGGGAAAAAATTTGCATGTCGACATATTAATTAATAACTCATTTATTAATAATAATAATAATAATAATAACAATAGGACATTAATGTCATTTGTCACGTAAATAATTATTTTAACAAACAAACGTGTAAAGAAAATTGACAGCTTATTAAGCTTAGCATTATTATTATTATTATTATTATTATTATTATTATTATTATTATTATTATTATTATTATTGCTAATACGAATGCGAATGAATAATTTTACGTAAAAAAAAAAAAAAAATGAAATTAAATAAAAACTTGTCAGGTGTTTTTGTTTGTTTAAAATTTTTTACACCTTTCGGGTGATACGTTTCCGGTTTTGTTTTGTTTTTCGACTCGGGCGTATTTCAGTTTTACCATAATAACAAAACAAAAAAAAAAAAAAATAGAAGATATTTATTTTTCCAGTTGGATAAATTATTTAAGGAAATAAAAAAAATTGTTGGGAAAAAAAAAATTCTGACATTTAAAATTTATTTTATTTTTCGTGTGTATTTTTCTTCTCGTTCGTCTTTCACCTTTCCACCACCCCCCTACCCTCCATCTCAATAGTCATCCCTTTGTTTCAGAATTTTTTCCAATACGTGGTGTTGGCATTAAGAATAAAACAAAAAAACTGAAA